TTATTTCTAATAACTTAGATTCAGTCAATCTGTGGGCGGCACACAATCGGCTTTAAAGCACTTTGGTGTATAAAATTTTCTCGAGGCATCTGAGTGGGTTTGAGCTTTGTTCTGATTGCAGGTTCTTGGTCACCATCCAACTGAAAGTGATCGAGAAAGAACTCACACTGAACAATTCCTTGCGTGCCGTTGACTTGCGAAAGTGACGGTGCCGATACAAGTTCATTTCCGCCATTGATATGGCAAAACCTAAACTGCTTTGCCAACCACCAGATGGCACTGAATTTCGGAAAGAGTCTATTATGTACCACCAGTCTTTGTCACAGTCATGCCCTCGGCGGCTAGGGTTTGGAAAGCAAAAGCATGGGCAGAGCTTCAGATATTGTCCCTGTTGGGCTATTAATTATCATATTTAATTGACAAGAGTTGTTACCCGAATGTTTGGCGACGCTGATTGCCATGAACCCGAGCACTCGACTAGGGGTTATGAAACTCGCTTACGTCACGGTGTCACGTGACCCTCGGTGCGAAATCGTGATGTCATGTTACGTCATGCTGTCAACAAGGTTAATACATCTAATGACTTCATCAAATTAAATCGAGTTGATGCAGCGAGTCACGTGACATTAGTTGACAACATGTATTGACACCATGACGTCACGTGACAACGTGACACTTGGTTAATCATAGTACCAATACAAAGGTGCCACGAAAACCCACAATTCCATACATTGGAATTCTGTATATGATGATTTGATCAATAGATAGAAATACAGCCGCCAATTTTTTATTCCCATATGTTCATTTTGTGATACAAACAAAAAAGAAAAAAAGAAATATTACCTTGAACCGTTTTGAACCGGTTACAGTTATATTTTTTTTCGGTTCGGTTCCGGTTCAGTTCCAAGATGGCGGCGAAGATTTCGGTTCGGTTCAGTTCCGGTTCGGCTAAAAATAACGGTTCTGTTCCGGTTTTCGGTTCGGTTCGGTTCCGGTTCGACACCCTGATATTTACACGTCTTCATTCAATTTTTTTTTTTTTTTTTTTGCGAGCGGAGATGATTTTTTTTTATAATCAAGGTTGAACCGATAAAACTGATGCACGCGCGAAACGTAATTTTAGGCTCGTGTCGAACGAAGAGTTCAATAGGAGTTGCAAGAACTATTCTCTAGCACTTCCTAATCATACGCGACTCCGTGTGGCGATTAATTATACTCGATGTTTGTACCGCCGTACATTAACAACAGTTTCACCAAAGCAATAAATAGGAACGGCTATGAAATCATGGTGTATTTGACAGCATCACCATTACGCCCCTTTCACACCGTGTGGATGAAGGGCGTAAAATGCGCCCATACACCCTTTTTACACGATTTCAGACACCAGCGCTGCAAGTGGGGCGTAAAAAGGGCGTGTAAATGGTGTAAAACGTCAGCACACCCTTTTTACACCCACCGATATTCAGAAATCGTGTAAAAAGCCTGTAAAAAGGGTGTTTTTTCTAACCTACACCCTTCTTACACCCTTTTTACACGATTATGGGTGTTACAATGTTTAGTGTGTAGCTCCAAGGTTAGTATGTCCACGGCAGTAATACCTGCCCTGCAGGCTAAGTATGACAAAGTCAAGCGAGTCCGACACCCCGATGACCCCGGGCCGGTTATCGCCGGTGACTAAACTCGATGCGGGAGCAAGAGACCTGCAACTCCAATACATCTTTTCTGGGAGTGCGGATACACTGTACGCTCAAGGCGGGCCACCATTTACGACCTTCCCGCTTACCATCGGCCCAAAACTGTCGTAGAGTAGACGCGACCAGGGGGATATGTGCAGCACAGGAAGATTGTGCCGAACTCTCTGCTGAAGGTCATCCAAGAAGCCCGTATCCGACAGTAGTTTTAAACATTTCATCCTCATTGTATACCCCATCTCTCACTCTTCATTTTCCCTACAAATGACCTAAGGTCAATGTGGTGGAAGAATCATTAAAGCACGTCTGAAACAAACAAAGAAATTATATTCATTAGCGATATTCTAGGTGACGTTCCAGTCAGGATTAATATTTTGGCCGATGATTGTGTTATATAAAACGAAATCTCTAGCCATCACGACCATCTTCTCATTGACATCTCCCTGGCAAAGAAGAATTCATGATCCAAAAAATGGCAAATGACTCCTAATCGTAAAAAGAATATGTATATATATAAGTATCACGCCGAAAAAAAAAATCACAATCTCTCTACTTCATAGACCGTGTGCCATTAAAAAAATCTAATCGTCCAAAAACCTGGAAGTCATCAGCTCATTTCATCTGCGATGGAACAGCCACATTAATTACATAGCACAGCGCGCGTATCAGAAACTCGTCTTTCTAAGACGGTCCCTGTAGCGCTCCAGCACATCAACATAGTTGGTTGTTATAAGTCCCATTTAAGACCCAGTTTTGAATTTGCAGCACTAGTTTCGGATCCACACACTTAAGAAATTACAAATAAATTTGAGAAATACACTCGGTTCGGTTTCTTTACAACTCTTCAAGTTGGTCTGCATTTTCCAGCCAACTCTTGCAGAACGACAACCTTGAGAGCCTCGACACAAGATATCGGAATGATTGACTTAATTTCCTTTTTATAACTGCCAATGACCACCTTAAAATTAAAAGAAACAAAAAGATTTTTCTAACAAGTGACCAGCAGAAAGAAGATCACACAATATGTAATATAGAAAGTTTGCTGCGGCGAATAATGCATTTCAAAAGTCTTTTTTTCTGCAAGCTATTCGAGAATGAAATTCTTTGCCGGTTGACGCCGTGGCCAGTGCTTCACTGTCTTTAATCTTATCTCAGATTGAATAAAAATTGTATCTTAGATGGAATAGTAAGCATGTTCAAAGTTTCCTGTAGATTCGCTTATTTTTCAAAGATATCAGTGTTTTGATTGATTTTCGTTTTTATATCTTATTTGTTCGTCCGTAGTCGGCGTTTTCTTGGGCTTTCATTTTTCCTCCGGTGCTACTGACACAGCAGCCTGTCTTTAAAGGGCCTCTGACGCGCAAAAAAAAAAATATTATGCTAGGGGTTGAAATGGCATGTCAGCAGATTACAAAAAAAAATGTTTCATTATAGAGGTGCGTAGATTTTTTTTATAAAAAATAGAAATACGAGGCCCAATTCAAAGTTCCCGCCAGTGCACTGTGACGTAACAGTGTACCGCAAGGTGTCGGGGCGGTCAGAAGCGAGGCATCGCCGGAAGTCACGTGAGTTGTATCCGTCCTCGTGCTTACCGCGAGCCCGTGTAATATTTTTGAAAATATTTTTGTTATTCTCCGCACCTCCACGAGCGATCCAAGCAGACAAGGTTTCTTTTATTTGCTTTTCATCGCTTAATGTTGCTGTAAAGGTGAAAGAAGATGAGTCAGTGAATTGACATGATCCACTACAATGCCTAGAAGGTGCTGTGTGAAGGACTGTCCCGGTATTTCAGCAACTGAAGAAGAGATCACGCTGCATGCATTTTCGATGAGACGGCAGGCATCTTCAGCCTGAAGAGTATTCGATGAATCGACGACTTCGGTGTCCGAACCTTAAGCAATGCAATTGGGCGTGTCGTACGCTAGCAATCCTAATGTCTGCGAGCGTTCTAAATTTGTTTTTTCAAAACTTGATAGCTTCTTTTGTGCCCAGTATAGCTCTGTATCATCGGGCCTACGGCATGCACTCGCAGACTCGTTTGTACTCGCAACGCTTTCATCATTAACCTCCATCATGTCGATCCACTGACTCTTCGTCCGCAACTTTTACAGCGCGCAAACTAATCAATGGTGCACCGATAAAGAGCTAGTGGAACTGAAACTTTGTTTTCTACAATCGCTCGTACAAAGAGCAGAAAAAAAAAGTCTTAGGCACGGTCGCGGGGAGCAGGAGTGAAACTCCCGTGACTTCCTGCGAACCCACTTTTAGTGACGTAGGTCGATGCCTCCCTTTTGACCGCCCCGACACCTTGCGGTACACTGTTACGTCACAGTGCACTGGCGGGAACTTTGAAATGGGCCTAGTATTTCTATTTTCTTATAAAAAAACTACACAACTCTATAGTGAAACATTTTTTTTTGTAATGTCCTGACATGCCATTTCAACGGCTAGCATGAAAAAAAAAAAATTTTTTTTTGCGTGTCAGAGGCTCTTTAATTAAAATATTATATGCGTTGCAGGGCAGCACAGCGCCGCCTAGATATTTTCTTTTGTGGTAGCAGTGTCTTACTTGTGCTTTTCGTTAGTCTGTACTACCCCTGCTACAGCCTCGACGAGGCGAACAGTGTTACTAAATGAATAAATCAATAAATAATGAAATAAAGGATAAAATAGTGCTTTACTTTCAAGCTGACACAAGTTTTTTTTTTTTTTTTTTAATCACAGTAAGGCTGTCGTATTTGGTTACATTTTGAGTGAGTATCGAGCAGATTCGTGCACGTTACTGAAAAAAGTAACTCAATATTGGATCTCGTGCTCAAAATGTAACTAAGTTGGTTACTCGTTGCTGAGGAGGAACGTCTTACTTTAACTCAAATACAACAAGTTACCTCTCGTTTCTGTCTGGGTTTTTGGAGGCAGTAATCGTCTAGCCACATCTTCTGCCCTTAAAACTTTCTCGCTTCTGAGAGGGGTCAATGGCATCTTTTACCACCCCGTTAGCGCCTTTGTGGAAGACAAAGAAGCGAGCTGGAGTGGAAACCGGTAACTCGTGTTGTGCACGTTCTTCTCCAGAAGTGACTATTAAGTGCAGTTAGTCGTTACTTCGTCAAAACGCAACCATAATACATTTCTCTTTCTTTCTGTTCAAGAGTGGCTGGGTCGTCAGTTTCTCACCAATACAAAATAAACTACGCACAATTAACACGTAACGTTAAAGTCTGCTAATCAGTAATGACGTTTCGTTGCTTTGAGTGACGCGTACATATCTGGGCGTGCGTGCTTCAATGTTTACCGCCTCTGTCATTTCAGTATTAGATCCGGTTTGCCCGCCGATGATGGAGTCCACAACCTGCCATACTGACAACAAAGCCGTCCAATATTTCTACAATACGTTGTCGGGACAATGCGAGTATCTAGGCAACTTGTGTCTCGCCGGCCCGAACCGCTTCGAGACGCTCACCACTTGTCTCGAGACTTGCCTGCAGCGCACAAGCTGACCAGCGGCACATATTATGCCAACATTTTGAGTCGATTATTTAAGGAATAAAAAGGCAGAATTAGCGTTCCCTTGATTACACAATTAAAGTGCGGTACCTGGAAGGCGTCTCCGACGGGTGTTTTGAGCGCGTCCTCAAAGGAGGTCACACAATTTCCGCCTGATGACGTCATAGAAGCTTCACGCTTTCGCCGACCGTGATCCTGGCGGCGTCCCAGCAACGCTAGTGTCTTGCTACATCTGCCTTTGCAGCTCCACAGTGAACGGAAGCTTGGACTTCCAGGATTTGGCACACAGTGACGAAGGCGACTTTTGATTTCCCTCGTGCTTTTTGCCGGGACTTGTAGCAGCAACCGCCAGAGTCGCGACATCCGACAGCATGACACACGACTTTCTGTGATGTCATCTGTCGCCACTTCAAGACCAGTTTTTTTTATTTTGTTACGATACCAGACGGAGACGCACTCCAGGCATCAGAACCACCAAAACACTGCTTACAGGCATACCAAATGTAGCCACTGCACATCCGCAGGAACCGGGGGAGGAGTTGAATTTGTTGTGCCTCTATGATACGTGAAATAGTTCCGGGAATTTAAAATTATCTTTAAAACAAAACATTTTTTTTTCCTGCAATCTTACATTTATTGCGTCCTACGTTTTCTAACGGTGAAATAAAGCTACAATGACTTTTTGTTGAGCGTGTTTTATTTATTAATATATTTTTCGAGAAGTGCGTATATCAAGCATGAAAAATTTTTCCAGATGTTTTTTCTTTTTGTTTTTTATCTATATTTTTCTACAATTGTATGTTCTTGCGGCATACTACGTGGATAGACGCCCCTGATATGCAGAAATTGCATTTATCTCTAGCTTCCTACTCGCTCTGTTCAAATAACTTCTTGCTCGCGAACCCGGACGAATTTGTGGTCCCTAATTTTTTTTTATCTGACTCCTCAAGATGTGTAGAGAGCGCAATGAAAATAGATTTTGCAGAAAACATAATATCTAAAAACAGAACAAAGTTTGGACCGCCAAAGCATCATATTTGATGTTTCAAGTTTTAGCTTGTCATGTTTGGTGACACCTACTATGCACACTACAATTTTAAGAAATCTCAAAAATTTTGCACTTAACGTAGATCATGCGAACTATTGAGTGATATCGGTACAAAATAAGGGAAGTCACATATTTCGCGTCAAAAATCCGCGAACCTGACTTCTTTGACGAAATGAATCCCTGGAGAAGGGGAACAAGAGGGACAAAGGACAAACATAAAACTCCAAACACAGCTAGGTGACTGGTGAGCGACCGAAAAAATCCGCCTGGTCCGGGTATTGAACCCGGGACCTCTCCATTAGAAGTGGAGCGCTCTACCAACTGAGCTAACCAGGGGTTAGACGTCAGTAGAGCAAACGGGTTTTATCAGCTGCCACCAGTCTAACACCAACAAGGGTGAAGCTTGGAAATTTAAGGTTAGAATTATGATGCAATTAAAATGCAAAGGTGCAAGCGAGCTGGACAAGAATGACGAAATGAATCCCTGGAGAAGGGGAACAAGAGGGACAAAGGACAAACATAAAACTCCAAACACAGCTAGGTGACTCGTGAGCGACCGAAAAAATCCGCCTGGTCCGGGTATCGAACCCGGGACCTCTCCATTACAAGTGGAGCGCTCTACCAACTGAGCTAACCAGGGGTTAGACGTCAGTAGAGCAAACGGGTTTTATCAGCTGCCACCAGTCTAACACCAACAAGGGTGAAGCTTGGAAATTTAAGGTTAGAATTATGATGCAATTAAAATGCAAAGGTGCAAGCGAGCTGGACAAGAATGACGAAATGAATCCCTGGAGAAGGGGAACAAGAGGGACAAAGGACAAACATAAAACTCCAAACACAGCTAGGTGACTCGTGAGCGACCGAAAAAATCCGCCTGGTCCGGGTATCGAACCCGGGACCTCTCCATTACAAGTGGAGCGCTCTACCAACTGAGCTAACCAGGGGTTAGACGTCAGTAGAGCAAACGGGTTTTATCAGCTGCCACCAGTCTAACACCAACAAGGGTGAAGCTTGGAAATTTAAGGTTAGAATTATGATGCAATTAAAATGCAAAGGTGCAAGCGAGCTGGACAAGAATGACGAAATGAATCCCTGGAGAAGGGGAACAAGAGGGACAAAGGACAAACATAAAACTCCAAACACAGCTAGGTGACTCGTGAGCGACCGAAAAAATCCGCCTGGTCCGGGTATCGAACCCGGGACCTCTCCATTACAAGTGGAGCGCTCTACCAACTGAGCTAACCAGGGGTTAGACGTCAGTAGAGCAAACGGGTTTTATCAGCTGCCACCAGTCTAACACCAACAAGGGTGAAGCTTGGAAATTTAAGGTTAGAATTATGATGCAATTAAAATGCAAAGGTGCAAGCGAGCTGGACAAGAATGACGAAATGAATCCCTGGAGAAGGGGAACAAGAGGGACAAAGGACAAACATAAAACTCCAAACACAGCTAGGTGACTCGTGAGCGACCGAAAAAATCCGCCTGGTCCGGGTATCGAACCCGGGACCTCTCCATTACAAGTGGAGCGCTCTACCAACTGAGCTAACCAGGGGTTAGACGTCAGTAGAGCAAACGGGTTTTATCAGCTGCCACCAGTCTAACACCAACAAGGGTGAAGCTTGGAAATTTAAGGTTAGAATTATGATGCAATTAAAATGCAAAGGTGCAAGCGAGCTGGACAAGAATGACGAAATGAATCCCTGGAGAAGGGGAACAAGAGGGACAAAGGACAAACATAAAACTCCAAACACAGCTAGGTGACTCGTGAGCGACCGAAAAAATCCGCCTGGTCCGGGTATCGAACCCGGGACCTCTCCATTACAAGTGGAGCGCTCTACCAACTGAGCTAACCAGGGGTTAGACGTCAGTAGAGCAAACGGGTTTTATCAGCTGCCACCAGTCTAACACCAACAAGGGTGAAGCTTGGAAATTTAAGGTTAGAATTATGATGCAATTAAAATGCAAAGGTGCAAGCGAGCTGGACAAGAATGACGAAATGAATCCCTGGAGAAGGGGAACAAGAGGGACAAAGGACAAACATAAAACTCCAAACACAGCTAGGTGACTCGTGAGCGACCGAAAAAATCCGCCTGGTCCGGGTATCGAACCCGGGACCTCTCCATTACAAGTGGAGCGCTCTACCAACTGAGCTAACCAGGGGTTAGACGTCAGTAGAGCAAACGGGTTTTATCAGCTGCCACCAGTCTAACACCAACAAGGGTGAAGCTTGGAAATTTAAGGTTAGAATTATGATGCAATTAAAATGCAAAGGTGCAAGCGAGCTGGACAAGAATGACGAAATGAATCCCTGGAGAAGGGGAACAAGAGGGACAAAGGACAAACATAAAACTCCAAACACAGCTAGGTGACTCGTGAGCGACCGAAAAAATCCGCCTGGTCCGGGTATCGAACCCGGGACCTCTCCATTACAAGTGGAGCGCTCTACCAACTGAGCCAACCAGGGGTTAGACGTCAGTAGAGCAAACGGGTTTTATCAGCTGCCACCAGTCTAACACCAACAAGGGTGAAGCTTGGAAATTTAAGGTTAGAATTATGATGCAATTAAAATGCAAAGGTGCAAGCGAGCTGGACAAGAATGACGAAATGAATCCCTGGAGAAGGGGAACAAGAGGGACAAAGGACAAACATAAAACTCCAAACACAGCTAGGTGACTCGTGAGCGACCGAAAAAATCCGCCTGGTCCGGGTATCGAACCCGGGACCTCTCCATTACAAGTGGAGCGCTCTACCAACTGAGCTAACCAGGGGTTAGACGTCAGTAGAGCAAACGGGTTTTATCAGCTGCCACCAGTCTAACACCAACAAGGGTGAAGCTTGGAAATTTAAGGTTAGAATTATGATGCAATTAAAATGCAAAGGTGCAAGCGAGCTGGACAAGAATGACGAAATGAATCCCTGGAGAAGGGGAACAAGAGGGACAAAGGACAAACATAAAACTCCAAACACAGCTAGGTGACTCGTGAGCGACCGAAAAAATCCGCCTGGTCCGGGTATCGAACCCGGGACCTCTCCATTACAAGTGGAGCGCTCTACCAACTGAGCTAACCAGGGGTTAGACGTCAGTAGAGCAAACGGGTTTTATCAGCTGCCACCACTCTAACACCAACAAGGGTGAAGCTTGCAAATTTAAGATTAGAATTATAATGCAATTAAAATGCAAAGGTGCAAGCGAGCTGGACAAGAATGACGAAATGAATCCCTGGAGAAGGGGAACAAGAGGGACAAACATAAATCTCCAAACACGGCTAGGTGACTAGTGAGCGACCGAAAAAATCCGCCTGGTCCGGGTATCGAACCCGGGACCTCTCCATGACAAGTGGAGCGCTCTACCAACTGAGCCAACCAGGGGTTAGACGTCAGTAGAGCAAACGGGTTTTATCAGCTGCCACCAGTCTAACACCAACAAGGGTGAAGCTTGGAAATTTAAGGTTAGAATTATGATGCAATTAAAATGCAAAGGTGCAAGCGAGCTGGACAAGAATGACGAAATGAATCCCTGGAGAAGGGGAACAAGAGGGACAAAGGACAAACATAAATCTCCAAACACAGCTAGGTAACTGGTGAGCTACCGAAAAAATCCGCCTGGCCCGGGTATCGAACCCGGGACCTCTCCATTGCAAGTGGAGCGCTCTACCAACTGAGCCAACCAGGGGTTAGACGTCAGTAGAGCAAACGGGTTTTATCAGCTGCCACCAGTCTAACACCAACAAGGGTGAAGCTTGGAAATTTAAGGTAAGAATTATGATGCAATTAAAATGCAAAGGTGCAAGCGAGCTGGACAAGAATGACGAAATGAATCCCTGGAGAAGGGGAACAAGAGGGACAAAGGACAAACATAAATCTCCAAACACAGCTAGGTAACTGGTGAGCTACCGAAAAAATCCGCCTGGCCCGGGTATCGAACCCGGGACCTCTCCATTGCAAGTGGAGCGCTCTACCAACTGAGCTAACCAGGGGTTAGACGTCAGTAGAGCAAACGGGTTTTATCAGCTGCCACCAGTCTAACACCAACAAGGGTGAAGCTTGCAAATTTAAGATTAGAATTATAATGCAATTAAAATGCAAAGGTGCAAGCGAGCTGGACAAGAATGACGAAATGAATCCCTGGAGAAGGGGAACAAGAGGGACAAACATAAATCTCCAAACACGGCTAGGTGACTAGTGAGCGACCGAAAAAATCCGCCTGGTCCGGGTATCGAACCCGGGACCTCTCCATTACAAGTGGAGCGCTCTACCAACTGAGCCAACCAGGGGTTAGACGTCAGTAGAGCAAACGGGTTTTATCAGCTGCCACCAGTCTAACACCAACAAGGGTGAAGCTTGCAAATTTAAGGTTAGAATTATAATGCAATTAAAATGCAAAGGTGCAAGCGAGCTGGACAAGAATGACGAAATGAATCCCTGGAGAAGGGGAACAAGAGGGACAAAGGACAAATGTTTGTCCTTTGTCCCTCTTGTTCCCCTT